AGTGCTAATAGATGTGTAGTATTAAAAAAATTAAAAAATTCACAAGATATTTCTGAGGAGTTTTTAAAAAAGGTAAGTAATTTAATATAATCAATTGACAATAATAATTAATGATTTTTAAAATATATTAATTTTTATTAATTTTCATGAAAGCTTCAAAATTACATCAAATTTATACAACTATATAATAATGTTGCTAATATTTATGGCATTTCACAAGATCCCAACACAAAAGAATATGTTTTAATAATGAGATATGTACTTGATGGAAGTTTAAAAAATTACATAAAATCAAACTATAAAATTTGGGCTGAGAATTAAAATACTTTATTGTATTATCTTAAATTTAAATGTATTTCACAAAGAAGGACTTATACATTATAATCTTCACAGTGGTAATATTCTATATCTTAAAAATGTACACCAAGCAATGATTGCAGATTTAGGGTTATCAGGCCCAGTTGATCAAGTAACATCAAGTAAAAATGATATATTTGGAGTACTGCCATATGTTGCACCAGAGGTATTAAACAAGAAAACTTATACACAAGCATCTGACATTTATAGCTTTGGGATTTTAATGTCAGAATTATCAACATGTCAACAGCCATTTAATGATCAACCACATGATCTAAACCTTGCTTGCAGTATCTGTAATGGTTTAAGGCCTGGCTTTTCAGATGGTACTCCAGAATGTTACATTGAATTAGCATACAAATGCATGGATGCTGATCCTGAGAAAAGACCAACAGCAAATGAAATTATAGAAATTTTTACTTTTTGGAAAGATGCAGTTCTAAATTCATATAAATCTAATTATTCTGATGAACAATGTGATGAATTAGAAAGAATAAGAAAAACATTTAAGGAAATAGATAAAAAACCTTTTAATCCTTCAACAATTACTGCAACTATTCATCCAAATGCTGTTTACACAAGTAGATTATTGAATTTTACAAATCTCCCTCAATTTGTAAGCTCCAACAAAGTTACAATTATTAGTAACAATAATGGTAATTAGTTGGTTATTTATTTTAAAATTCAATGTCAACATTGATAACATTAACATTATTTTAAATTATCATTTTATATAACCTAATCAAGTTGATTTGGATATTTTGATAAACACACTAACTAAGAAATTAAACAATGAATTAAATGGTGATATATCAGTTGAATTAATTAATTTATTTGAATTAGTTGAAATATTAGAAGCAATAAGTAATTGTATTGATTGTAAAATAAAATCATTAAATAATAATGAAATCAAAATTTTACTTGGTAAATTAATTGAAGTGAGTGAAGATCTCTTAAGCAGTTTAGAAATAAATATGTCATTTGGAGGAGTATCTGGATTAGATAATAAATTATGTTATAGTTGTTACAAAAATAGGAAAACATCTAACAAGTATGAAAATAAAGTATTAGCTAGACTTTTTCACCAACATAATATGGATTCAAAAACTATTAAATGGATTCCATTTAATGAATTTAAACATGTGAAATATTTAGCTACAGGCGGATTTAGTGAAGTTCACAAAGCAACATGGATTAATTACTATGAACCTTTTTTCCAGAAATTTGGAGAAAAAACAGTTGCATTGAAGAAGCTAAATTTTTCTAATAATTATACCATGGCTATTATCAAGGAGGTAAAATATTTGAATATTATTTTTATAAATATTATTTAAAAATATTGTATTGTTATTTAATTTATTCATAACAAATATTATTTTTTTGTAATTTTTAGTTAAAAGCAAATGATAAGCTTTATTTTTCTGTCAATAAATGCTTTGGAATTACAAGAAATCCAAACGAAAATGATTATATGTTGGTATTTGAGTATGCCCCAAATGGAGATCTACATAATTATTTATCAAAAAATTTCAAAAAAATTTATTGGAAAGATAAAATTGCATCCCTTTATTGGATTTCATTTGGGTAAAATTTGAATTACCATTACACTATTATGTTTTTATAATATGATTAATTTATTTATTATTAAAATTTAGATTAAAGAATATTCATGAAAATCATTACATTCATCATGACTTACACAGTGGAAATGTTTTTTCATATGATAACAATAAGAGTGTTATAGGAGATTTAGGGTTATGTCAACAAGAAATAAACAAAAAAGAAAATCCAGGTAAACTTTATGGTGTTATACCATATTTGGCACCTGAAGTATTATCAAAAAAACCATATACAAAAGAATCAGATGTTTATAGTTTTGGTATGATTATGTGGGAACATACTACAGGTAAAAAACCATTTTATGACAGACCACATAATTCTTGCCTTATTCAGGATATTTTGAAGGGAGAAAGGCCTGAAATTACTAATGACACACCTCAATTCTATGCTGATTTAATGCAAAGATGTTGGGATGCTAATCCAAAAAATAGACCTGATGCTAATGAAATAGGAAAATTCTTTGAAAAATGTCATTATAATCCTTCTAGAAAAGAGGAAGAGAGTATTGAATTAGCAGAAGATAAATTATTAGAAATTATTATTGCAGAATATTATTTGTCAGATGAAAAGAATTACAAACATCATTCAGAATCAATCTATACAAGTCGTTCACTAAATGAGTTAATTCAGCAAACTAAATCATCAAATCTTTTGTCAATGGGATCAGTTTAGCAGTATAGTAATATTCAAAGTATATTTATCACAGAATCTATTGGCTAAACAATCTTTATTAATTGTGTAGGTTTAATAATAGGCAGTGGTGACGGTAATATGATTATATTTTTAGCTATAATTTTTCATTTTTATCAATAGAATATTTTTTAAAGGAATTAAGAATTTTATATTATTATATATATATATGAATTCAAAGTTGAATTTTTGAAAAATAAAAAAATAATATTTTTGTTGAAAAAAAAATGCTTTAATTTATGTATATACTATATATGGGATAGTGTTCCATGTCGCAATCCAAAAAGGAAACAAAATAGTTGTAAAGGTGGTTGCAACCAGTGGTTGCAATCATTTTTATATGACGCAAAGATGGTAGCAACCATTATCAAAAGTTGCAGCCAGTATCCTTAATATGGGATGGTGGGAGTATTTCTTCAAACATGATGAATTTCAAAACTTGGAATGATCCACATGCATGGCTTTACTGTGCAAACATTCCTGACTCCCATCATGGAAAAGCATTGTATAATTTGGTCATGAAGTATCAGATTACACCATTGTAACCATCAAATGGAGAACTGTGCCCTAAAGGGTCCCCTCAGTCACTATCTGACAAAACCAACCCTGTTAAGATTCATCTATCATCATGTAAAGAAGACAGAATGTCATCTCATACCATCCCAAGATGCTGCTGATATGGAATGGCCACATAAAATTTTCAATATGTGACATTCATAGGACTTATGTAAGGCTCTGAATGAATTGAATTGAATTGAATTTTAGAGTGATTTGATTTGATTTGTAGTCAACTTGATTTGAACCAAATTCAAAAAAACTGAATTTGATTTGATTTATGACTCAATTCGAATCAATTCAAATCAAACTAGATTCCTAAATTTTTCTTAATGTCATATTAAATACAGTGAATCTAATGTAGTGTACCTCAATTTAATGGATGACAACAGATTAAGATTTAATAATAATAATAAATATAATGGATTTCTTCATATAGTCGCAATAGATGGATGTGACACATAATAATAATAAGAAAAGTTTTATATGTTTTTATATGTGAAGCAAAAATTTTAAAAATCAGTTACGACAAGAATTTAATTATTATAGTCCGCCGTGACAAGGTTTGAATAATAATGGATTTTTAGAAAAATTTTTCTAATTACCCAAACTATAGTATCTGCTTAAACCAAGATTGTGTATATTTTAAATTTTTTAATTGATAAAGGATATTATTTAGTGATGGTAGCCAAAACTGTTTTTGAAAAAAGGTAGGTTCATCCAACACATATAATAAGTATCTAAATCAATCTACTTTATTTTAAAAGCTCACAATTTCAACATCAAAGTTTTAGGCTGGCAATTTTGGCCCACTAAGCATAGTTTCGGCTACCATTACTAGTTCAAATCGAGTTGGGTTGAATTAGTTCAAATTAAATTATATATTTAACATTCGAATCAGGGTACAATTTGAATTTGATTCAATTTGATTTGATTTGATTTGAATCAAAAATTAGGTATTCAATTTGATTCGAATTTCATTGATTCATTTGGAGCTTTAGTGCCCATTTCCCTGACAGACATTTCCCTGTCACCATAGCATAATGGACATTCGTTTATCACATAGTGATAAAATTGAATGATGATCTTTTTTATGCTGTACCACATTGTATTTTCAATTGATTTAAAATAGAAAAAACTAGTTATAATGCGAGTGATTAAAAATCACTTGTAGAACGATGATGTTTTGTTCGAATATACTCTTCATTAGTTAAAAGGCTTGGGCAAAAAGATCAAAGAAGATCATTGATTTTGAAGGATTTCAATATGTACTGAATTTTTTGATTCAAGGCTTTTTTTACCATATATGGGGCATACTGCAACAAAACAAGACAAAGTGAACATTGGTATTACCAATGATTTCAGGGATGGTGATGATTCTAGTTATGTAACTTTTTTTTGATTTACTTAGTGCTAACAAAGAAAATAAAGAAAATGACGAGAAGGTATTTATTCAATAAATTAATATTTAGTATTCAATCTTGCAGAGATTGATTATTCTCCACGTTCTTTTTAGGAGCGGAAAAAAAAGACAAAGATGCTGGAAAAAGAAATTATTAGATTAAAACGAGAATTAAAACAATTAAAAGAGAAAAATATCACATAATGCAAATTTTGGATTGAATAAATATACAAAAAACTATTTTTCACTCATTCTATTTCATTTTTATTTATTTATTTGGTATACTGTTTATAACTAACTGCCTAATTAATTTGTTCTTATTTGACAGATGAAGGGCCAACATCGAAGAGAACAAAACAAAACAGGAAACCCATACCTATAGAGATGCTGAATGAATTTGTAAACAAGTGGAAGAAATGCCTCCACCATCCACATTTTGCAAGAATGCTACATGGAATAATGCAAAATACAAAGATCCCTATACACACTTATCATACTCCTAAAACATACTTAATTTAAGTAGAATTTGAGTAGTGTTTAAATGTGAAATAAGTATGTTTCAAGTTTATTTCAAGTGTAATTTAAGTACATTTGGGAGGCACTTAAAACATCCTTGTTTTTTGCAAATTTAAGTAGAAAATAAAAACATAGGAATGTTTTAATGGTAAAATAAGTATATTCATACATATTTTGCAAATAATTAGTGAATTATCTTTTTTGATTTAAGTATGTCATTGCTTAATATTTGATAATGATAATAACATGATATATGGTCATGGCAGGAAAATTATGATAAACTGATAGAATGTATTAAAAAATGTCTTGTCGAGAAGACGCCTTGCCGGAAACATCTTCAACCCGTTAAACTGGCACTAAAAACAAATTTTGAAGTTATTAAGAACATAGAAAACGTACTGCACATTTTGCTTGATAAAATTTAGAGTTGTTATATATTCACTTTATTATCGTTTTCTCATGTGACTTGAAAAAAAAAGCAAATTAATTTTAAATTAAAACAGCAATAAAAATAAATTATTAAAATTATTATCACAAGACAGAAAAAAATTTATATCAATATAATTATACTTTTTTATCTAAATAATACTATCTACTACCATTGACCATCATTAATTATTATTATCTGATATTAAATCCTCCCACATGATTTCGAGCATCTCCACATCATTCTGCTTTGTTATTAATTCACCCCCCTTAACATTTGGTGGTCTTTGGATAGTTTTAATATTAATATCAAATGGATATTTTATGCTTCCTTCCTCGCCTGCACTATCAAAATTTGCTAATAATATGGATGCATCATTTTTTCCATCTATCCTGACTAACAAGTTACCTCTTCTTAAATCACCATGTACAATTTTGTTTTCATGTAAATAACTAACAATTTCATAAGTTTTACTTTTGATTTCTTCAAGTGGAGGAAAATTAGAATTTTTGAATACATAACTGCAGTATGTATTTTTGTCTACATAATCTGTAACAATCATTATCCAGCCTCCTGCAAGCGACTCACATGCATGTAATTTAGGAGCATACCCCATATTTGCACATAAAAGATGTGCCTCCTTTGAATATCTTTTGACAAATTTAACACGTATATCTCTATTTGTTGTAGTTGTAGCTAAAAAGACTAGTTTTCTCTCAAGTTGAGACTTGTAATTAAATTCAACTCTAGTGTCATTATTTCCATAATAGAATTTGTATGGGTACTTAGGATTACGAATGATTTGGTTTATACTATATTGCAACTCATTCTCATAGTAAGACTTTAAACAATGTACTGCTTTTTTAAAAGCACCAAATGTCCTTGCAGCAGCCAATTCGATATCTTTTTCATATGGATTGTAAGAAAGTGGTATAGGTAATGTCAATTGGTCCATATGAACTTCCTTTGGGATTGCTGAACCAGCAAAACAAAACATAGGACCTGGGAAAAAAAATTTGTAAGAGTTTATTATGAAATATTTCTTCATGAATAATATCAAATAACCTACCTGCAAAGATAATATGAATGCATGGAAAAACAACACCTGTGTATTTTTTAGCATTATCAAGGACCATGTTTATGTAATACATTGAAGATTGAAAGAACCCTTCTCCACCAGAGCCAAATTCCACTTTTGCCTCAATATTCGCATAGTAGTGGTCGCCTGTAACTAAAGAACCATCTGTCACATAACCTTTGCTGCCTATTTTACAAGCCACGAAGGTTAGGTCACAGTATTTTGTAATTAAAGTTCTAAAATCCTCCGCACGTAAATTTTCATTATCATAAAAGGAAGACATTCTTTTACTTAAAGTTATAACAAATTTAATATCATCTGAGGTGGGAATGAGATTTTTGCAATCACTGACAAATTGGCCAAATGCTGGATGAAGGAGTGTGACCGTTCGAATTCAATTATTTAAAATAGAAAAAACATGTCATAAATAACATGATCAAAAATAGTTGTAAAACCCAAAAAATATTTTGCAATAATATACCTTTCGTTGGAAACTTTATTTTGGTTAAAAATAATCCCGTTAATCCCGCAAACTGCAAGATCTCATTATGAACCAAAGATTTCAAATTTTATATATAAATTTATCAAGGTGCGCAAAATTTTTATTTTTTTATTTTGAAAAAATATAAAAATATACATATAATATTTTTAATTATTGATTCTAATGCCTTTGTTTGTTATAGAGAGTGTTATAAGATGTTCATTATAAAGAAAAATTAATTAATTATAAAAAAAGAAAAGGGAAGCTTCATTATAGAGAGAAGTTAATTACAAAAAAATGAATCAGAGACAAAAGAGGAGTTCATTATAGAAAAAGTGAACTGTAGACATTATGTGATTTGTTGATTACATGAAGGTAGTTATTTGTTTAAATTTATGCATGCAAAAATATATATATTATCATTTTTTTTTATTTTTTTTTTATTCTTTTGATTCAATTATAAGACATATAATATATACTGAATACAATTTTTTTATTACTGTACACAGATGTTATATAATTTGTTAATTACATGAAAGGATTTCAAAAGTTAGTTGTTCTAAAAAATCTTTAAATTTATACATACATACATACATACATACATACATACATACATACATACATACATACATACATACATACATACATACACACATATATATACATACATGCATACACATATATATATACATATATATAATATATATATATATTTGATTTAATTACAAGACATATAATATATATACACTGACTACAGTTTTTTTATTACTGTACATAG